GACTCCCGAGGATGGGAAATCCGGGTCGTGACATTTACTTATTGTGATAATTCTATTTTTAAAACTACACCTTCTAATATTAGAAATAATGAGTCATTAACAAACTTGGCATATAATGAGTGATGCAATTAAAGTGAAATTTCGTTGTTTAATGTGGTTATAAACTTATTATGTTTCCTAATCTTAAGTTGTAGTGGAACTTACTATTATTATGTTGGAATTTGACATATTTTAAACTATTTTTTTATTTTGAATTTTAAAATTGTGTTATATTCATGGTTCCAATTTACTTGTTTTAGTAGTATTGGCTCACATTGCATATTGTTCATTTTTAAGTTAAAATTGATAGATTATTTTTGCCAAACATTTGAATAATGTTATTACATTATATTTCTAAATATTAATTTATTTTATCAAATATAAATTCCATGATTTTCTTACAAAATGTATATTTTTAATTTTTGCAACTATATATATATATATATATATATATATACACACACAATATTAGTTATGAATATATGATTACTAATTAATGTATGTTCACCAAAAACATATACATCTTAAATAACAAATATATTATCATTATACTTATAAAAAACATATATATATATATATATATATATATATATATATATATATATATATATATATTAACTTTTAAGTTTTGATAATTACGTCATTTAAAATTTAATCTAACTGTGTAATTACACTTGTGCAACCAAACAGTAAATTTGTAATTACATTGTAATTACACTATGACACACAAACAGGCCGTCGTAATCACACAACTGTGTAATTACTAGGCTGTGTAATTACTACCCCAGTAATTTCACCAATCCCAATTACCTGGTGGCATTCCAAACAGACCCTTACTATTTTTGAGTTCTGAGAGATATTATGAGCGCAATCTTAAACTACAAAAGGTACAAGTGTTTACGGGTAAAATCGAGGTAAAGTTTTCCTCGATATTTCGATTAGAGAACGTAGGGGAAGCCCGGATCGGCGTGATTGTAATCGAGGCTAGGAACCCCACATATCGAGTCCAGGGAAGAATGAACGATGTATCTGAGATCGAACACGGTAGAATGATGTATCCTGGACCAAGTATAGCTTCTGGACCTCGGGAGACGCAGTGAACAGTTATGCATGACGGACAGGTGACCGTAATATTCGCCCTCAACCGGATATTACAGCACAAATCCCGTTCAGTATCAATTACAGATCAATAATTACCGGAAAAAGAAGATTTTTTTTAGCTTTTTAGACTTGTACTAGGACTGAAATTCTTCCACTATATAAAGGGAAAGTTTGTCTATAGTGTGACACATTGTAACATGCATTTCAAAGGAATAAAAGTTTGGTTTTGTGTTCTAGCTATTGTTTAAGGCAGTACTCATTTGTTCTTCTCTTCACTCGCAACCGAGTTTGTACCGAGGGTCCAATCGAGGACGAGTTTCACTGTTCAATCTAAAATTAGGCTTGGTCATTACATTGTGCTTGGTTGATCGTTTATTTTGTCTTCAATTCATTTATCTACTATTCCTAATTATTCATATTGAATTAAACCACGTATCCTTTAAACCGCGAACAGATTTAATTGTCACTCATTTTTTAGGGTAAACAATTTGGCGCCTACAGTGGGGCTAAGGATAATAGTGGTGATTTTGTATGATTCTCTATAACTCACCCTATGCTTGTTTTTTGAAATCTTAACTACAGGTCGGCATAAGAATGTCAAACTCTTAGTTTGCTCACTTGAACGTTGACGCGGAGTCAGTCCATCATCCCGAAAATAATAATGTGGTGCCCAGTAATGATGTGCCTCCTGCCGATCCCAATGGTATCCCAGTCACCGACCTGGTTGATGCTAACTCGGAGGTGGCCATCAACATCAATTTGCCAACTATTCCCAAAAACATTATTCGTGGGGGACCCTGGCCAATGGCTCAAGAAGCGCCCGAAGGAGAAGGTAATGGGTTGAGCCTACGATTACAACAACAACGGCCCAGTATAATCCCACAAGTGGGGTCTGGAGGGTTGAGCCTACGACTGATTTTTGAAATGTTGCACGCTCAACAAGCGGCAATAGCACAGCTGCATAACCAAACTAGGCCCCTAACAGGGTCGAGCCCGAACAATCTTGGGAATATACTTGGAGAGACGAACAAGTTGCTGTGAGACCGGGTGAAGCCGAACCCGGGGAAAATTTAGAGGTAATGAAGATGCTCAAAGCATTAAAAAAAACGGGTAGAGTCAGGCGAGAAAGAGATTGAGTCCAACGACAAGAAGGTGGAAACATACAACTCCAGGGTCGATCAGATCCCGGGAGCACCTCTAGCATTGAAGGGACCGAACTCTAAAATATTTATCTAGAAGCCTTTCACCCCCAAAAGCGGCACCGAAGCCGGTCCCGAAGAGGTTCCATATGCCCGACATTCCCAAGTATAATGGGATCACGGATCCAAATGAGCATGTAACCTCCTACATATGCGCAATCAAAGGGAACGACTTGGAAGATGACAAAATCGAGTCGGTGTTGCTGAAAAAGTTTGGGAAAACTTTGTCCAAGGGGGTAATGATTTCCGTATCACAACTTGCCTCCAAATTCCATTGACTCGTTTGCTATGCTTGTGGATGCTTTGGTAAAGGCCCATGCCGGAGCCATCAAGGTCAAGACCAGAAAGTCAGATGTTTTCAAGGTCAAACAAAGGGATAACGAGATGCTCAGGGAGTTCGTGTCAAGATTCCAGAAGGAACGAATGGATCTGCCACTAGTTGTGGATGATTGGGCCGTTCAGGCATTCACTCTGGGGCTCAACCCCCCGAAGCTCTATGACCTCTCCACAACTAAAACAAAATTTGGTGGAGTTCCCGGTGTTAACTTGGGTCGACGTCCATAACTGGTACCAAACGAAGATCTTGTTCGAAGACAACCAACTCGGGGCCCCTTCGGAATTGTTTACCCCATCAGAACCGATGATAGATCTAAAAGGGCCATTGATCAGGAGCCAAGGCCTGTCCGAGAGCGATATCAACCATACAACACGGATCAGAGGGGAAACGGATCAGGGCGTCATCCAACTAGGAACGACAAGAGAAGTGATCGAGGGCGGAGTGACCAGGGTCTGATAAGTAAGAGCAGGTTTGACAGGTTACTCGGGAGTAGGGAAGCACCAAGGATATCCGAGTACAATTTCAACGTGAACACTGCAAGCATTGTGTCGGCCATTGGGCGCATCAAAGAGACCAAGACCATTGCAGTCTGACCTTGCCTAGAGAGATCCTAATTTGTTGTGTAAGTATCACATCACCCATGGTCATAGGACCGAAGATTGTCGGAAGTTGAGAGAAGAAGTTGCTTGATTGTTCAACAATGGGCACCTCCAAGAATTCCTAAGCGAGCGAGCCAAAAACCACTTCAAAAACAGGGACGCCAACAAAAAGGTTGAACAAGAGGAGCCTCAACACATGATCAACATGATCATTGGGGGAGTCGATGTCCCCCAGGGGCCAATGATGAAATGCACTAAAGTGTCTATTACGAGGGAAAAACTCACCCAGGATTATGTTCTGGAGGGAGCTATCTCGTCCAACAATAAAGATGTAGAGGGCATCGTACAACCTCACAGTGATGCATTAGTAGTAGCTATACGTATCAATAAATCTCGAGTTAAATATGTGTTGATTGATCTAGATAGCTCGGCCAACATCATCCCATAGAGGTTCGTAGAGCAACTGGGGTTACAGAATCAAATTGTACCGACGGTCTAGGTATTGAATAGGTTCAACAACACGTGTGAGACCACGAAAGGAGAGATAACTTTGCCGATAAACACTGTCGGGACAACCCAAGAAATAAATTTCTACGTGATCGAAGGGGATATGAGGTACAACACTTTGTTCGGAAGGACATGGGTCCACAACATGAGGGTGGTACCTACGACCTTACACCAGGTGCTGAAATTTCCTGTGCTGGGGGGGGGGGGGATTTCAAAACGGTCTACGGAGAACAGTCGGCCGCAAGAGAAATGTTTGTTGTCGATGAAGTGGTCCCGATTCCCGCGGTCTCAATATCAAAAAGCACAGAACCGACCAAAAAAGAAGAAAATAAGTAACAATCAATGATACTGGCCTAGCCGAACCAGGAGAAACATGAAGAACAAGGAGCGAATGATGAGGACGATTACAGTGTCCTGAGATCATTCATAGAGCTCGATGACACCGTCGCCACCAAATTAACGGTCGAGGAGTTGGAGCGATTTATATTAATCGAGCATCTACTGGATCGAAAGGTATACCTGGGCATAGGGTTAACCCTCGAGCTCAGGAAAAAACATATTGATTTTCTTAAATCTAACGCAAACTATTTCGCCTGGTCCCATCTTGACATGACAGCGATCTTATCGGAGGTAATCACTCACAAATTGAGCTTGGATCTGAAGTTCTATCCGGTCAAGCAGAATAGAAGGCCACAATCTCAAATCAAACATGTGTTCATCAAGGATGAGGTATCCAAACTTCTAAAAATAGGTTCCATCCGGGAAATTAAATACCCAAATTGGTTAGCTAACGTAGTGGTAGTACCTAAAAAGGAAATAAACTAAGGATGTGTGTAGATTATAAGGATATAAACAAGGCATGTACAAAGGATTCTTTTCCTTTGCCTATCATTGATTGAATGATCAACACTACGGCCGAACACCAGATACTCAGTTTTCTCGATGCCTACTCCGGGTACAACCAAATTCGGATGGAACCGGATGATCAAGAAAAGACTTCTTTCAGAACAAAGTTGAGCACCTACTGGTATAACGTAATGTCGTTCGGATTAAAAAAACGCCGGTGTCACATACCAAATCCTAGCAAACTGGATGTTCGAAGAACAAATAGGAAAATCAATGGAAGTTTATGTTAACAATATGTTGGTCAAGTCCTTGCGAGCAGAATAGCATTTGAAACATTTGCAACAAATCTTCGACATATTGAGGAAGTACAACATGAAGCTAAACCCGGAGAGTTGTGCATTTTGGGTCAGTTCGGGAAAGTTTCTTGGGTTTATGGTATCTAATAGAGGGATAGAGATCAACCCCAAAAAAATAAATATTATAGAGGACATCACCGTAGTCGACAACATCAAGGCGATTCAAAGACCGGCCGGGCGGATAGCCGCGTTGGGCCAGTTCATCTCGAGATTGCCAGATAAGAGCCATCAGTTCTTCTCACTATTGAAGAAAAGGAAACAATTTTTCTTGGACTCCGAAATGCCAGCAAGCTTTGGAAGAACTCAAGTGATACCTATCAAGCCCCCATTTGTTGCACACTCTAAAGACAAAGGAACAATTGTACCTCTACTTGGCAATTTTCGAGGTGGCAATAAGTGGTGTCTTAGTCCGAGAGGAAGAAGGTACACATTTTTCTATTTACTATGTTAGTAGAACCCTAGGCGATGCCGAAACAAGGTATCCTCACCTAGAAAAGTTAGCGCTCCAGGAAGCTAAAACCATACTTTCAATGCCACCCCATAAGTGTCGTGACCTCTTACCCGCTGAGGAATGTCATGAATAAGCCCGAGCACTCAGGCCGGCTGGCCAAATAGACCATAAAGATTAGCGGGTATGATATCGAGTAAAAACCCTGAACTGCCATAAAGTCTCAAATTATGGCAGACTTTGTGGCCGACTTTACACCGGCCTTAATACCCGAAGTCGAAAAGGAATTGCTGCTCACTTCGGAGTCTAATTCGGGGATGTGGACCCTATTCACGAACAATGCCTCCAACACGAAGGGGACTGGGCTCGGTGTCTTGTTAAAGCTGCCTGCGGGTAGCACAATTAGACAATCTATTAGAACTATAAAATTGACTACTAATGAAGCCGAGTATGAAGTTATAATTGCAGGTCTAGAATTGGCTAAGAGCCTCGGGGCTGAAGTGATCGAAGCCAAATGTGACTCCTTCCTCGTCGTAATCAAGTCAACGGAATGTTCGAAGTAAAAGAGGAATAGTTGCGGAGGTACTTGGATAAATTGCAAGTAACCCTACACCAATTAAAGGAATGGACTAAACAGCACGTACCTCGAGATCAAAATAGTGATGCCGATACATTGGCCAACTTGGGGTGGTCTGTCGACTCCAATGAATTCAACTCAGGAGCAGTAGTGCAGCTGATGAACTCGACGATAGAAGAAGGTCTCACCGAAGCAAACTCGACAAGTTTGACTTGGGATTGGAGAAATAGATACATAGACTACTTGAAGACAAAAAAATTGCCATCAGATTCCAAATAGTCGAAAGCCCTGCGCACCAAAGCTGTCAGGTTTAGTTTAGTCGAAGGAAAACTATTTAGAAGGTCCTTCTTCGGCCCACTGGCTAGATGCTTAGGTCCGGGAAAGACTGAATACGTCATGAAGGAAGTCCACGAGGGCACTTGCGATAACTATTCGGGGGCAGAATCCTTGGTTCGGAAGCTAATCAGTGCCGGCTACTGCTCGAATAAAATGGAGAAGGATGCGAAAGACTTCGTACGAAAATGCAACGAATGCCAAAGACACGCCCTGATGAATCATCAACCGGGAGAGATGCTTCACTCAGTCCTGTCTCTATGGCCATTTATGAAGTGAGGAATAGATATCATCGGTCCCCTGCCATGGGCACCTGGTAAGGCCCAATATATACTACTCATAACCGATTATATTTCCAAATGGGTCGAGGCTCAGGCATTCGAGAACGTCCGGGAGAAGGAAGTCATCGACTTCATCTAGGATCACATAATATGTCGATTTGGTATGCCGACCGAGATCGTTATCAAAAACGGAAAACTATTCATCGAAGAAAAGGTAAGTAAGTTTTCGAAGACCATATGATCAAGAAAATATTATCAACACATTACCACCCTAGTGGGAACGGGCAAGCGGAATCGATGAACAAAACTATACTCCAAAAACTGAAAAAGAGATTGACCGATTCAAAGGAAAAATGGAAGGATAATCAATGCATGGCTTTTCGCATTCGAGGACAGTCAACTGGCGGCTGACACGTGTCCAAATTCAGAACGGCGTGACTGATGGGATGTTTCGTTAACCCATCAACTCGGTTGTAACGTACAAAGGAAGGAACCGGGGTTAATTTATCGCTTCCCATAGCTTCGACAAATCTACTCTCCGAAAAACGAGGGGACTATCTATGTATGGGTAAAATTGAGGGCAAAGTTTTTCCTGCTTTCCTGATGAGATAACGAAGAGGAAGCATGGATCGGCGTGATTGTAATCGAGGCCAGGAACTCTTCATATCGAAGCCAGGGAAGAATGAACGTTGTATCTGAGATCGGACATGGTAAAGCGACGTAACCCGGACTAAGTATAGCTCCTGGACCTCAGGAGACGCGGTGAACGGTTAGGCATGACGGATAGGGGACCATAATATTCTCCCTCAACCGGATATTACAGCGCAAATCTTGTTCAGTATCAATTATAGATCAATAATTATCGGAAAAAAAAGATATTTTTACCTTATTTAGACTTGTACTAGGATTGAAATTTTCTTACTATATAAAGGGGAATTTTATCTTTAGTGTGACACATTGTAACATGCATTTTAAAGGAATAATAGTTTATTTGTATCTTCTAGCTATTGTTCAAGGCAGTAATGACCCGTCTGGTCGTTTCATGAATAATATCCCTGTTTCCCCCATTTATGCTTCCTTATGTGTTCCTCAGCTTTATTCTATCGAATCGTGTTAGTTGGTTTGGGCTCGGAGTGGTTTTGGAGTGAATTGAGAAACTTAGTCTCTTTTAAAAAGGCTTAAGTTGGAAAAGTCAACCGAATGTTGACTTATGTGTGAACGATCTCGGATGTGAATTCTGATGGTTCGATTAGCTCCGTTAGGTGATTTTGGACTTGGGAGCGCGTCCAGAATGTGATTTTTAAGTCCGTGGTAGAATTAGGCTTGAATTGGCGAAATTGGAAATTTGGCGATTCTCGATCGGCAGTGGAAATTTTGATATCGGGGTTGGTATGGAGTTCCGGAAATTGGAGTAGATCCGTAGTGTCATTTGTGATGTGTGTGCAAAATTTAAGGTCATTCGGACAAGGTTTGATAGGTTTCGGCATCGTTTGAGGAATTCGGAAGTTTAGAAGTTCTTAGGCTTGAATCCAAGGGTGATTGGTGTTTTGATATTGTTTTGAGTGTACCAAAGGTTCGACTAAGTTTGAATGTTGATATGTGACTTGTTGGTATGTTTGGTAGAGGTCCCGAGGGCCTCGGGTTGATTTCGGGTGATTGTCGGATCATGGATGGGATTTGAGGGAATGCTGAAGATTTCCTTCAGCTGTCATAACCGCACCTGCGGAGTGGGGACCGCAGGTGTGGGCCCGCAGAAGCAAAGAAAAGGGCTGCAGAAGTAGCCAAGGCTAAGGAAGGGCACGACTACAGGTGCAGAAGGTGGATCGCACCTGCGAGACCGCAGGTGCGGGGAAAGGACCGCAGAAGCGGGATCTGGGCGGATAAGTGAAATCCGCAGGTGCGGATTCATGGGCGCAGAAGCGGTTGCACAGAAGCGATTGCGCAGGTGCGAGAAAAGGGCCGCAGATGCGGAAATGCCTGGGCTGAAGGTATAAATTGAATCCTTCGCGAAATTTGAGTTATTTTCCACCATTCTTGCTCGGGCTTGGAGCTTTTTGGAGGGTTTTGAAGAGGGAATAAAAGGGGTTTACATTGAGGTAAGTTACTTGAGCTTAATACTCGTGATTATGGTAATTCTTAGTTGTTTAAGCATGAAACTTGTAGAAATTAAGGATGAAATTTAGGGGATTAGGGCTTGTAATTGGAAAGTTTGATTTGGGTATTTGAGGGGCCATTTGATGTGGGATTTTGATGAATTTGGTATGGATAGACTCGTGAGTGAAATGGATTTCTAGTTTTTTTATTTTTGTAGGATTCCGAGATGTGGGATCAGGGGCTGGGTTTGGGTGAATTTCAGGATTTTGGTCTAAATTGTTAGTTTTTCGTATGGAATTGGTTCCTTGGCCTATATTGATTGCATTGTATTGCTTTTGGTTAGATTCTGGACATTTGGAGGCCGACTCCAGAGGCAAGGGCGTAGCAGAGTAGGGATTTGACTGGTTTGAGGTAAGTAATAATTGTAAATCTAGTCCTGAGGGTATGAAACCCCGGACTGCACATCGTTTTACTGCTTTGAGGTGACGCACATGCTAGGTGACGGGCATGTGGGCGTGCAACATTAGGGATTGTGACTTGGTCCGTCCTGTAGCAACTATTAAGTTGCGTATTTGACCGAAACTATATGATACTTATGTGATTTAGAAAAAATTTCTATAAATTGGGCTGAATGCCATATATGGGCCTTGTGCCAAAGCTGTTTGGACCCTTAGGGGCCTTTTTTTATTATACTCTCACTGTTTTGATTTAAGATCCATACTCTGACATGATGTGTTTACTGATTTCATAACCAGTCTTTATTACACCGTTTTGTTGCACATAAAATGTTATTTTGGGCTGAGCAACCTGATTTTTTTTTACTGATAGCCAGAGTGGCTTGAGAGGTTTATGACTGAGTGAGGCCGAGGGCCTGTTCTTGTGAGGATATTATGGGATTGGGCTGCGCGCCGCAGCATGTTGTTACTGATTTCTTATTATGAGAGGTCGAGGGCCTGATTGATTTATGCCATGAGGTGGCTTGTTATAGAGTTTGGGCTTTAGGAACCCCTCCGGAGTCTGCACACCCCCAGTGAGCACGGGTACCCTGAATGAGTGATATGTGATATGCCTGAGAGGCTGTATACGAGTGATTGTGAGGTTCGCTCGAGGGGCTGATTTTGAGCGATGTTTGCCTGATGGGCGATTTATGATTTTCATCACTTTTACTCCCTTTTGCATTGAACCCCTATCGAAACTGATGAAAAATATCTTCAAATGATTTTTACCGAAAACTAGATTTTTAAACGAGATGATTTGAGTGACATACTGATTTGAAATCATGTTGTACTTACTGAGATTTCATGATATGGACTTTATGTGTTTCCTCAGACTTTATTTACCTTTATTACTTACTGAGTTGGCGTACTCACATTACTCCCTTCACCTTGTGTGCAGATCCAGGGGTTGCTGGACGTGCTAGTGATTGTTGATTTTCATCCGTCGCGGATCCGTGGAGTTAGCAAGGTAGCTGCACGGCGATCGCAGCCCTGCTCTTCTCCATCCTATAATGTTATTAGTTGTTTTCCAGACTCTATTAGTCTTAGTTTTATTGGACAGTTTTTAGTAGACGCTCAAGACTAGTGACACCCCGATGTCAGGCTTTTCTTTCCGCACTTTGTTATTCAAATTTATTTTATGGAGTTTTATTAATTAAATAGCTTGAAGAAACCTTTATTTTGAAATATCGGGTTGTTTTGATAAAAGAGTCAGCTTGCCTAGTTCCATGTTAGGCGCCATCACGACATGGTAGATTTGGGTCGTGACAAGTTGGTATCTGAGCTGGCCCCGATCGTCCTCAGCCACAGAGATTCGTGGCTTTCTTGGTTTGGCGGGTTATTACCGTCGGTTCGTTCAGGGATTTTCATCTATTGAATCACCCATGATCGAATTGACCCAAAAAGGTGCTCCTTTCAGGTGGTCGGATGAATGCGAGGCGAGCTTTTAGAAGCTCAAGACCGCTTTGACCACAACTCCGGTGTTAGTTTTGCCATCAACTTTAGGTTCTTATATGGTATATTATGATGCTTCTCGAGTTGGCATTGGGTGAGTGTTGATGCAGGAGGCTAGAGTGATTGCTTATGCTTCTCGTCAGTTGAAGCCCCATGAGAAGAACTACCCTGTTCATGATCTGGAGTTAGCTGTCATTGTTCACATGTTAAAGATTTGGAGGCATTATCTCTATGGTGTGTCTTGTGAGGTGTTTACTAATCATCGTAGCCTCCAACACTTGTTCAAATAGAAGGATCTCAATTTAAGGCAGCGGAGATGGTTGGAGCTGCTAAAGGACTATGATATCACTATGTTGTACCATCCGAGAAAGGCCAATGTGGTGGCCGATGCCTTGAGTAGGAAGGCGGTGAGTATGGGCAGTCATGCATTTATTCCTATTTGGGAGAGACCTCTTGCAGTTGATGTTCAGGACTTGGCCAATTGGTTTGTGAGGTTGGATATTTTGGAGCCCAGTCGGATCTTAGCTTGTATGGTTTCTCGGTCTTCCCTGTTTGATCGTATCGGAGAGCGCC